ATTGGGGGGGGGGGATCAATTGGGGGAAAAGGAGACACATGTAAAACTTTAGACAATAAATAAACAAACAAAAGAGTAGAAGAAACCTGTTGCCGGGATGAGTTGGAGCAATCGGGAGGCAGGAGCACAGTCCCTCCCTTTTCCTGATGGCGGAAGCGAAGCTGAAGCCGACGCAGCCTGGGCCCTGGGGCATCCCCGTTGACTTTTCTCTGGACAACTGTTCCCGGTCCATCCACATCCAACCCCGGAGCTGGCCGGATGGGGGCGGTCTGGCCCCTTCGGAGCTCCCAGGGCCAGGTGAGGCTAGCCCTCCGCTGACCCCTTCCCCGGCCGGCCGCCCGCACTCCTAGCCTCGCCTCAAGGTCACGCCCTCATCCCCTAGGAACACTGCAGATGGAGCTAGAAATGAGGACTGTGGCCTCCAGCAGAAATTAGTTTGCCTTTTGAAACGGGTCCACAGGTGACACACGGGATAGGGGCTACTCCTCGTGTTACGGAGGGGGACACGGAGGCCCGGAGGCCTGCCCAAAGCTGCCGCTGGAAGAAAGAGTCACACTTAGCATCAGGCAACCCAAGACCCGGGTTCTTTCTCCTTTTCCCGCTCAATGGGGGTAAGAGACGCTGACGCCGTTAAATTTACCCTTTAGCTGTTTTCACTGTGCGGCCTGGGCGTGGAGCACAGTCACACCCTAACATCGCCACCATCATCTCAGAAACGTTCTCATCTCCCAAACTGAGGCTCAGGCCCCGTGAAACACCGACTTCCCGGCTCCCAGCCGCCCCCGCTCCACTGAGCTCCCGTTCTAGACGGTTCACATCCTGCCAACCAGCAGCTGCCCTCACTCCTGGCAACAACCAAGTACAAGTGCAAGACACGAACACAGCGCCTGGCCAGTCTGGCTCCGTTGGTGGAACGTCCTCCCGTCAACCCACAGGTCCCTGGTTCCATTCGGGTCAAGGCACGTGCCCTGCCAAGCAGGTGGCGAGCTCCACCTGCAGGAGGCAGCCGCTCCATGATTCCCTCTCATCATGGATGTTTCTCTCTCTCTCCCTCTCCCTTCCTCTCTGAAATCAATAAAAATATGTATATATATTTTTAAAAAGATAACAAGTACCGGATACTCTTCCCGAAGGGTCCAAACCCGAGCCAGACACGTCCATCACCTGGTCCCCGGCACCTTCCCGAGC